GAAACTTGTCCCCGGGAAATCCCGGGATCGAATTGAAAAAAACGCAAATGCAATTGAATACTTTTTAAGCACTTATTAAACACTTAAAAATTATTAATTAAATGAAAATTTATAAGTATTATAAGTATTATATAAAACAATACCTTAAAATGGTAACACAGTATAAATAAAAATTAAAATTAAAAAATAATATAAATATGTATTAAAAAAAACTTTCATAAATCACATATTTGAAAATTAAAATGAATGGATATAAAACTGGAATTTATATAAATATAAATTGGATATAAAACTGGAATCGCACATACTTTTGGAAGCAGAAAATTCCAAATTAAATTAATGTATACCTTCTATTAAAAACTCTTGCTCTTTTTACCAGCAAGGGCCTAAACTTTATCTATTTTTATAATATACTAGTTTTAATATAATACTATATATTATATATAGTATAATATTAAAACTAGTATATTATAAAAATAACAAAAATATAAGCGCTTGCTTGTGGAATGAGCTAGAGTTTTTAATAAAAGTTATACATTAATATTATTTTATTATATATTTTTAATTTTAATTATATATATATATATATATATATATATATATATATATATATATATATATATATATATATATATATATATATATATATATATATATATATATATATATATATATATATATATATATAGTAAGTTATTTATATAGTTAGTGGTAAACTGCGTGGATCTTATCCACAAGCTGAGACGTTGTAACGTTCAGCTATAGCAGCCCAGTACTTTTTTTTTTTTCTTTTTCTTTTAAATTAATATTTTCTTATTTTTCTTGAGCCATTCCCTTTAAACTTGCTTTAAAACTATCAAATTCTCGGAATCTACAACTTTTTTTGGAAGTTTGTTCCAAATTTGGCAAACTCTGTTTGTGAAGAAATGGAATCTGGAGCTAACCGATGCATGAAAGTCATTTATTTCGCGAAGAGTAAAACACTGCATTCTAATTTTATGTTTGAGACCTCTAATGGAAGAACCTGGGCCATCTAATTTAATGCTTGACTTATAGACTGGTTTGACATTAAGATTGACAAATTCTAGATTGTTTAATATCTTATATAAATGAATAAGGTCTCCTCGTTTTCTTCTGAGATTCAAAGTAATTAAATCCATTTTAACTAGCCGTTTCTCATAACTTAGCATTCGGTTTGAGTATGGTATTTTTGTGGCCCTACGTTGAACTCTTTCAAGCATTGAGATTTCGGCCACATTCGGAGGACTCCACGCTGGAGCCGCAAATTCAAGATGAGGTCGCACATAAGTAGTATACAAAATTTTCCACATATAACAATCTCTACTTTCAAAGGCATTTTTCAATAACCCCAGTATTTTTGAAGCTTTGTTAACACATACTTGCGTTAGATGCTTCCACCTCATATCCGGTTGTACAAAGACACCTAGATCTCTTTCTAATACACTGTTTGAGAGGTCATAAATCATTCCATTTATATTCATTGTGTATGTTTTATCAATACCTCGAAAAACTTTCTGATTGCCGAATCTCATCACCTTACATTTTTTGCAGTTTAGTTCCATACCCCAATTGTTGCACCATTTCACAATGTTGTCCAGGTCGGTTTGTATTTCCGCTTGTTTATCAATGGAATCTTCTATGGCTATTATTTTACTATCATCAGCATACATTTTAAATGTGTTTAGCACAACTTCTGGAAGGTCATTTATGAATAGCTGAAACAACATTGGACCCAAAACGGAACCCTGAGGCACGCCACTGGTAACTGATACCCATTCTGAAACCGTATTACTAATAGCAACTCTTTGTTTCCTATTTGCAAAAAAACTTTCAATCCAGTTATATATTTTACCAGTTATACCATACACTTTAATCTTTGTCACTAATCTTTTGTGTTCTACTTTATCAAAAGCCTTTGCGAAGTCAAGATATATGACGCATAACGGTTTACCTTTTGCAGTTTCAAATGTAATTGTGTCAATTGTCTCAAATAATAGATGTTAGGGATACTGGCCTGTAGTTTTCTGGTTCAAGTTTTGATCCCCCTTTGTAAATTGGTGATATATTTGCAGCAGACCAGTGATAAGGGACACATCCAGTGTCAAAGCTTAATTTGAAAATATGAACAATTGGGTCCACAAACCCTTCTGCAGCATGCTTTAAAAAAAATGGACTAATTTCATCAAAACCCATCGCTTTTGACTCATCCATACCTTCTAACATTTTGAGAAAATCGCACTGGTTTTCGCATCTTTGCAAGAATTTGGGTATTGGTTGGTCATTATCATTAACAAAGACTGACTGAAATTGTCTATTTAATATATCTGAAATGTCTGATATCTCAGTTGTAACTTGATCTTTTTTGTTCTTGATTGCTCTAATTTGTGTTTTAATGTTTTGTTTTCTATTTACGTATAAGAATAAAAGTTTTGGTGCAAGCTTTGCTCTCGTTACTAAATCCATTTTGTATTCTCGAGTTGATCTTTTGATTTGCTTTTTAACATTAGCACACATTTTGTTAAAAGCCTTTCGAGATTCTTTTTCTTTTGCATCGGCAAATTTGAATAAAACATTCTATGTTTTATTCAAATTTGCCGATGCAAATTTGAATAAAACATAGAATGTTTAATCTTTATTGCTTTTTTAACTTTTGCATCCAACCAGGGTTGACTATTCTTTTTTTTATTATTCAAAATAGGAATAAACAATCGACAAGATTCATTATATGTATCCAAAAATCACTCATAACATTCACAGGCTGATTTGTTATAAAAATGCTCAACCCAGTTGACTTGTTTCAAGTAATTATTTATTTGAAAAAAATTACCTTTTTTAAAGCAAAACTTATCTTTTGTGAGTATATATATATATATATATATATATATATATATATATATATATATATATATATATATATATATATATATATATATATATATATATATATATATATATATATATATATATATATATATATATATATATATATATATATATATATATATATAAACATATATACATTTTGCAGACAAGCAATAATGTTTTAAGTTTTTTTTTTAGTAAAATACAGAAAATGAGAGTTTTAAAAGGAAAACATTGCAAAGATAATAAATGGTTACACAACCAAACTGCTACTATACATAAAAATTACTAAATTACAATTATAAGCTTAAACTTTATTAACTTTTTTGATGATCCCGAAATCCCGGGAAATTTCGGAGACTAATCCCGGGATTTCGGGATGAACATTTTTTACGAAATCCCGGGATTTCGGGATCCTGGAATTGCCATCCCTACAAGCATATCAGGTGTTAATTATATTAAAATTTTTAAGTTGACTTTATACAAGAATCATAAGCTTTGTAATTTCAAAAATTCTGGTCCTTAATTTTTGATCCTGAAAGTTTTTGTTTGATTTATTTATTACACGAGATGTAATGGTTGAAAATCAGTTTATTAAACTGGGACATATTTCCTGGTTTTACTTGTTGTAAACGATAGTATAAAATGTTCTATTAAACTTTGTCAAGACTTTATTAAATCTGATAAATTTCAGATAACAGATAAAAAATCTTGGCTAACTTTAAAATAACTTTACTTTTAAAAAAAACATTTGTAAAAAATGTTTTTAACTTAAAATATGTAGGAAATATTTTATGCACCTTATCCTTACTTACTATCCTTACTTTGTAAATATACTCAGCATGTATTCGAATTCGTCGGACTGACCGTTCCTATCATTTTTGAAAAAAAAGTATATAATCTAAAATCAAATATATCAGGCAACAAAAAAAAACTCTTACGGTATTTTTTAAATATTTTTAAGGGACTCTGCCCTATCCATTAGCACAAAAATTAGATATTTTTTTATTTTCAAACTGTTTAGTTGGTCGAAGAATAAAAAAAGTTATATATTTTTTTTATACACATATCAAAAAGAACCATAAAATTTTTTAAGGTTTTTTTTTTGTTGACTTTAGTGTCTTATGCCCATTCTTATATATATATATATATATATATATATATATATATATATATATATATATATATATATATATATATATATATATATATATATATATATATATATATATATATATATATATATATATATATATATATATATATAAATTTGTAAACAAAGAAAATACAACTTTTTACCATAAAAATTTGTTTTTAATTTTGTTTGTTTACGAATTTATGTATATATAATGCTCTATTAAATAAAAATAAATCCTATTTGTTTATTATTGAGCACTCTTATACGTACAAGATATTTTGTATTTTATTTACAAATACAAAATACCATTTAAGATAATATGTGTGTATATATATATATATATATATATATATATATATATATATATATATATATATATATATATATATATATATATATATATATATATATATATATATATATATATATATATATATATATATATATATATATATATATATATATATGTATATATATATACATATTTTATATATATATATATATATATATATATAAATATATATATATATATATATATATGTATATATATATACATATTTTATATATATATATATATATATAAATATATATATATATATATATATATATATATATATATATATATATACATATTTTGTATAACTAATAAACTACTTTGTCATGTAGTATATACATATTACATGACAAAGTAGTTTATTAGTTTTTAAAGTTTTAAGGTATTAATTTAATGTGTCGGTAAATAATATTATTTTGTTAACCACTAACCAAATGCTTATAAACCACTAATCATATGCTTAAAAAAAAACTATTGAAAAAATAGTTGATACTAGTTGGTGCTTATAGTTTGTATCAAGGTTTTTCCATATAAATATATATATATATATATATATATATATATATATATATATATATATATATATATATATATATATATATATACATACACACATACGCAGAGTATATACTTTTTCCACTTCAGATATGGTACGCAAAAACGCCTCTTGGAAAAAAACGTGCGAAACGAGGTAAAGAAAATGAAGATAAAAAACAAGCTAAAGGAAAAATCGATAAGAAAAAAAAAAAGAAATAATAGTACATTATTGATATCGAACTTTTGCTCGCCCTGATTTTTCTGACAGGTATTATTGCATAGCTAGCCCGCATCAAGTTTCAAATGTGTTTCATGTATATATAAATTTAACTGGATAGTTTAACAAATTTCGGCAGGTTTTTAATTTATATTATGGAACGAAACAGTTTTTTATTATTTATTTTTTTTAATTGAAAAAAAAAATTATAATTATTGTTATTTAATTTATATTAAATTAGTATTTACAAAGAACTCTTATTCATAGGCCGTAAATTACGGTGACGAATGAAATAATGTATCCTATATAGGGCATTCTATACTTATACAAAAAGACTTCCAGTTTTCTAATATTTGGTCACAATGCATAATTAACATAACATAACATTATAATCATAATTAACATATCGCTGGTTAAATATTAGTAAGCTTTACTGTTTTTATTGATTTTTTTTGGAAAACATAGTAAGTATCAACTTCGGTAATGGATCGTCTATAAATTACACATCGCAACTTTTAATCTTTAAACAAAACAAAACAAAAAAAACGTTATTTTTTTTCAAATAAAATTGCAGAATAATAAATATTTCCGCTTCAAAGAGTTGTATAAGAAACTTCAAATAATAAAAACTTATTTTTATTGAAACAAGCATAAAATTCAACTTTGAGCGCATAAATAATATGTATAAAAACGTATAAATAACGTATAAAAAAAAATATGGTTCAGGGTGCGTATTCACCAAACTTTCGTAACTCTTGCGTAGCTCAACTAAGGTTACGGAAACCGTACGTTCAACGTTGTTTTCGTAACTATTTGGTATTCACCGATGCACAGTGGGTCGGATATTAGACTTATGGCGAACAAAATTATTTTGATAATTTTTTTTTTACTAAAGTCCTTAAAATGTCTAATAAAAATATTCCTTTTTACTATAAATTTTACTTAAATTATTGAATATACTAAAAATAATAAAAAAAAACTTTAAAAAACGCGGGTTTGTTTTTTATATTTGAGTTCTCATAAAACGCTCATGAGGTTTTATATAAATTTTATGATGAAATACAAATTCTATAGTTTAATTATGGTAGTAATTAGTAAAGTTCTAGTCTAAAGTATTACATTTTTTAATTTTTAAATTTATTACCCCCAAATTCTGAATAACATCATTTTAAGTTTATTTATACTTTATAGAAAAAAGACTACTTGTAGAAAAAAGAATACAAAGCTTATACTATATATTACAAATCATTTATTTACGGAGATTCTTTCAACAACTCTAGAACATCACTGGGAAATTTATACTTTAATTGTTATTTAACTTTAGTTTCCTAAGAGATATTATAACGGGATCACTGGATACAAAAACCCTATTAATCTAATCTTGGTTTGTATCTTTTCTTGAAGTCTTTCTGCTAAAATGTTTCCGAAAGTTCTTGAAGTCTTTATATCACGCCTCAAGAGCATCTTTTGACATTTCGATTAGTAGAAATTGTCTTTCAATTATGACATGACCATGAACCAAAATTTTGTGGACAGATTGTGACATATAGTACCAAGAATAATTAGATGTATAAAGTTTTAAAGCGGTTATGCAAAATACTTTAAACTTTATAGTATCTATGTCATATCCTGATGAATATATTAGAGTTATAAAAGAGTAAATTAGGGTTAGGGTTAGGGTTAACCTAACCCTAACCTTACCCTAACCCTTCACTTTTTAGATTTCTGTCAATGTTTTCATTATGACTAGCCTGCTTGTAAACGCTTTGCCCTGTAGCACCATCAAACCCAGCCTTGCACCTAAATGTCAGTTTAGTTAGTTCTTCTAACATTGTAATTGTGCAGGAGTCTGTACATCACACAGTCTTTCAAGAGTGTGCATAAGAAGATCTTTTAGCGGTATGTAAAAATAACATCTGTTATTTTTTGGGTGAATAAAAAACATGACGTTTTAAATAAGTATTTGATTTGAAACTCGTACTTTTAAAGTTTCAAATAAATTCAATATGGGACATTAGGGCAATGTATACAGTTCTAATAGGTTATAGACATGTCGGATTTACTAGCACAAGCACTAGATATAGATTCTCGTAGGTTCCCTAACTTATCTGGCACTTTTTGTACGAAATAAAAGTATTAAATGTTATAAACTTACCTTGTTGTAATAAAGCCAGTTTATAAATGTGTTATAAATAAAGATTTTTTCTTTATATTTTTTTCGTAAAGCTATACAATTAAATTGTTAAAATAGATAAACTAATTGCGCATACACGTATTTTTTTTAAAGTTACTGTTAACAAAAGATATGCACAAAAATGAAAAAAATCGCGCTTTTATAAAAAAATAGTTAAAATTATTATACATGGAACCGCAATTGATTTTTGTGGTTTTGAAAGATACTATTAAAATCAAAAAAATGTTTTAATAAGTCAGTAGAGTATTACGCTTATATTTTATTATATGATTTTTTAATAATAAACCTGCCCACTGATCCGCACTATGTGTTATTTCTTTTTTAATGTATGTGAAGAATAAGACTCAACACATCATTCAATGATATTGATAACACAAATAGCATCAATCTTTTTGAAATGACATTAGAGTAATCTAAGATGAACGCTGAGAGTTAACAAAGGTAGATGTGATCTTAAATATGTAAGTGTATTACAACATTGTTGATCAGATCTTTGCTATATGCTACGACATCACTGCTTCCAACATTCCAAAACTGAAGTACTTTTTTGGAGTTTATACCACCTTTACAACCTTCTCTGTTCAGATTTATTTGCAGGCAACACAGATAGGAGGTACCCATTTCTCATTTTGTGGAGGATCTTACTGATGAGAAAATAAAATGACACAGGAAAGCAATATATGTAAGGTTATATAAAAGCTGGTCACTCAGAACGAGGTGGGTAAGACGGAGCACATCAGGTTTGATTAGAATGGGTTAGAGGTTGGGTTGTTTTTAAACAACATTAAAAGTGAGGCTCCGAAGTTCCTCAAGAGGACATTGACCTCAGAGGTGTTTAACGCGGGTGCTGCAAGTAGCTATGTGAACTAGTTGTCTTTTAATTATTAGGAGATGTACCACTATTTCATTTTTATCAATATGGAGCCTTCCATTAATAGTTAAACTAAATTACAGCTTATATTAAAGCTTATTGAGTCGGTAGGATAGCTGAAATTTATGTTGGAAAGTTGAAATGGCGGGTAAAGCGAAATGACTGTTAGACATTTTAAATAACTAAAAGGTTTTTGAATCTATTTAAATAAGTCAATTGCTGCGCAGAGAAGATCATCCTATTGATCCAGAACTTTGTTAGAGGCTACTGATTGGGCGACACAATAAAGAACGTCATACTGGTCGCCAGATAATAACTTCTTAAACTAGAAATAAATATTTTTAAGAGACTTTTATATTTCACAAAAATTGCCCTTTTTTTTGAAAAATGAAATTTTATAGCTATCACTTTTACTAAAGCAAAAAGTTTTTTTGGTAGTTTTAGCCTAATTGGACATTAGAGAATGAGAAAAAAATGAGGCGTAAACACGGCAATTGGATAATGTGCGCAAGGTGTTAAAGGTACTAAAAAAGGTCATTGAGATAATTAACCCAGCATATATTTGTGCCATTTAAGGTTTAACATTTAAGTTTGAAACACATCCACAAAGGCTATCAAAATGTGATATTTTTTCTTATTGTCGTCGAGAGGTTGACGTCGTGAAGAATCATGATCGATCACAAGTGACTGCTTTAAACTCAGATTGTATTTCAACAAGAAAAGTTGATTGATTGTGTTTCCAAAATATTTTGAAACAATTGACTGCATTATTAATTCTGTCATTTAACAATGTGTCTGAAATCAGAGTACATTGGATTTTACCGTATATTCCTTACGGTACGAAACGGTAAAATCCAAGTTACAGATTTCGCACCCTTTTTGGTAATTAATTTTTTCAACTGAAGTTTTTAATTATTTTGTTGCTATAACTTCATCGACATTTTGAGCTAATAATTTAACCTTTCGAGGTTTAATCAACATACTTTGGTGGCACTATCCATCTTTTTAGATTAATACCATCATCAGTTGCAACCAATAAACTCCTTTGTCCAATAAATCTACTATTGTGTATGAGAAGTGGAATCATTGAGCTAACTTGTCATCCATTTGTGGATCTTTATGTCTGTTGTACTTTAGTACTTAACCGCCATCTGCAAACAATTGAGTTAATTGTTTAGTATCGTAACGTTTCTTTTGCGTACTTTGTTACACTCTAAAGTACTTTTTAGCTTTTTTTGCGCCAATTTCTTTTTCCTTTTGAAAAATTTGCTTATCTTAACTATTGTTTGGCTTTGAGTCTAAAGGGAAAAAAAAATAAACAAAATATTGTTTGTAACTATTGTATTTCAAGCTATTTAGTAATGACTCTATTTCTAAAATTCTTTTTAAAAACTATTAAAAATAAAAAAAAGGATAACCATAAATTAACTTTCTCTCAATCGTTAGTCTGGCCATAATATTCTGATATTTATTTTAGGTTCCATATGTCTAACTTCAACATAAAATCTTTCACGAGCTAGTTACAAAACTTGTATCCTTGGTTAAGAAGTAGAACGTGGCAAGCCCAAAATCTGAATACCCGACAATAAATTGAAACATTAAACGGAATGTGAAGTTAAATTAACCTCATCTCTTTAGTCATATACTAGGTTGACATTCATGACAGGATCTCAAAAGTTTGTGTATGTATTTTGAAATCGACTTTTACCAATACTTCTTCAATGCTTTTCTGTTGGTCGCCGTTTGCCCAAAGTGGCATGCTCAAGCTATGTTGCTATTGTATAATATAGAGTTATAGAGTTTATATAAAAAGGTTTTTTTCTTCTTCAGTTACTACTTGCTGTAGTTGTTTTTTAGTCCTAATGTGAAATTTTTTATGAGCTAACCGAAAGATTATCTTTTCAAATTCTTTCATTTACTACAAAGGGTAATCATTCTTACCGAGATATATAATCGTTTCTTAAACATTACACTCGAAACAAAGATCAAATTATAAATTTCAAGGAAACGGCTTCACTCATTTTTAATCTAAAGGTAACTAGTTTACCAACGTTTGGTCCTACACAAAACTAAAGTTTACATAGACAATACTTCGTTTAAATTTCCTGCATGAAGTTTGGAAATTCAATCGAAAAATCTTTGAATAGAATCAGTGGTTTTAAAGCTTTTTTAACGTGGTGACTTTTAAATGCCACAAGCTGAACTTTTTTATTTTATTTTTATATCCAATTAAAAGCTTATTTCATTCCCTATTAATTAATTTACTTGTTTTTAGATAATTATTAAAAATTAAGATAATAATAATCTCCAAGCGTTTTTTTTTATTACAATCTGGTCTTTGTTATTACAATCTGGCCTTTGTTATTCGGCCGAATAGATTGCAATATTCCAAACAGCTAAAAAGTAGCGTAGGTTAAGAAAAACGTATTTACGCGTTTTATTTGATTAATAAATTGCAAGATAAAAAGCTCACATTAGATCACTTCAATGCTGAACAAATTCCAAGAAGCACTATCTATAATATAATCAAACGTGCTGAGAACAATTTTGAACACAAAAGAGTGCAAGGAAGTTGTCGTGTAGCCAAAATCCTCCAATGAGATCAATCTTCTGTAAACCATATTTGACTACAGTAACCAAGTTTTAATAAGGCAAGCTGGTCAAAATTATAGATGCAGTCATTCACATATCATTAAAATTCTTGCCAAGTACACTTACATCAAAACTTATACGAAACAGGGTATACCTGATCGACTAGAGAGCCAGAGTGAGCAAATACGACCGGCTTTTGTCGTTATTATCGCAACTTTTAAAGAAAATTGGTCATCCTTAACAACGAGTCTTACTTCACGCTGTTGCACTCAACGATAAACGGAAACACCACCTACTACGTTAGCGACAGACACAAGACTTCTCCAAACGTTAAATTTTGCAAAAAGTGCAAGTTTGAACCCAAGCAGCTCGTCAGACTGACCGCTTCTAACAAAGATATTTTCGAGCTATTTTTTGTTCCCAGCTGCCTAGCATCCAATAAAGTCATCTAAGAAATGGATTGTATTAAACTCTAAAACTCTAACACTTAAACTCTACTATCAGCAGATCTTAACTAATAACGGTTGGCTACCTTACTGACAAGACTGTTTTAAATATTCCAATGTTGGTATTTAAATTTTTTTTTTCCACAGAATCAGTTTGTCTGTAAAAGTTTTGCTTTAAGAGCATCAAAAAAAAAAAAAAAAAGAACAATAGTTCCACCAGAGCCATGTGTTCTAAGATTTAATCAAAAAGCTCAAAATGAAGAAGGTTGCTTTTCACTTTTGTGTAGTAAAGCGAGTTTAATGCTCAGCGTTCATGGATATTGAAAAAGATACAGTTATTGAAAAAAACGGGATTTAAGCGCGCGCTTTTTAAGGCCTTTCCTTTTCCTAGTTTATATTAATGATCTTAATTTATTGGTAAAATATACAACTTCCTATCATTTAGCTGATACCAATTAATGCTGTTTTTTTTGATTTTGCTGATTTACCAACTTGCTTGTAATTAAAATTAAATACATTCATCTAACAATCTGTCACTAAATACTAATAAAACTGAAATAATCATGTTTAATATAATGATTATATAGATATAATACATATTAAATCAAGGTTAAAATGTAAAATCAATAAACACCTAAGTTTCAACCCAAGTGTTCAAAAAATCAATCTGGTTATCTTCTTAAAATATCTTGGAATTAAAATTGATTCAAGTTTATCTTTTTTGCATTATCTAAGGACTCAGCAATATAACTATGATCGAAATCATGATCTTAAATCAAACGGGATGTTTGGATAGATAGCAATGGTTTTGAGAAAGCCGTTGCTATCATCTTTAATCTACAGACGAGCGTTCAATAAAAATCCGTGAATTTTATAAATTGCTATTTTTTTTCTTTTGTTTAGTTTTTAAAGGAAAAAATTAAACAGAAATGTATTTATTTATTTATTAGTTTCTTTGACCACATTGTAAATGGAATCCTTGGTGAAGCTAGGTCATGCCAAAATAAATATTGGTCATCATTATCATACTTTTATTAAAGAAAACTAATCGCTTCTTGATGTAATTAAAGTAAAGATTATAGTTAACTGAAAGACCGCTGAATATGAAGTACAGTTTTAACAACCCTTCAACAGAAATGCACAACCAGATAAGCATTTTTGATAATATTTTTCAGTTTTTTTATATATTATATATCATTTTTTATCCTATTTTATATAGGGGAAGTGGGGGCATAACCGCATATGGGGCACAACCGTTTTTTAACATTTCTCTTTGAAAAATGTTATAAAAATACCACGCATTAGTAAAACAGTTTCCTTCATTTTGCTAATGTCAAAAAGAGTGCCTGTTATGTTTCTGAGAAGTTATGCATAATAATGTTTATTTTGATAAATATATATATTATATATATATATATATATATATATATACATATATATATATATATATATATATATATATATATATATATATATATATATATATATATATATATATATATATATATATATATATATATATATATATATATATATATATATATATATATATATATATATATATATATATATATATATATATATATAGGGGAGGATGGGTAGGAGTGAGCCAAGAGTAGGAGTGAACCGTTGATCCTACAGCTAAAACGGGAAATGAAAAAGACTCTAAATTTTCACCAAGTAGTTGCATACAAGTTGTTCTTAACACAATCCAATTTTTTTACCCCTTTTTGGTGTTGGTGTCTGCGTTAACGTTATCATCCACCTTTTTTACCCCTTTTTGGTGTTGGTGTCTGCGTTATGTCTGTGCAAAAGTAAATTTTTTGTATTTTTTGAAACTTCTTTAATGAGCATTCCGGTTGTTTCGAGACATCAGACAGTGGTTGAAAATTTACTAATAAAAAATGTAGTTTTTAGAACAAAGTATTTTACATGCACAAACCACGTACTTATTGAACATTTAATGTTTTAATTCAGTTGCGCATCTTGGGGAGGAATGAGCCATTCCATCACGGGTAGGAGTGAACCGCGGCTAACGTTAAAAAAGTTTTGTAAAAACATATTTACGTTTGGCTTTAATATCTTAGCATATCATTAGAAAACTCCTGTGCAACATTACATTTATTTTTACCACATGTTATAATGCCTCGAGTCTATAAAAGAACAACTTCAAAAGCAAAATCCCCCAGTAAAAATATGAATGAAAACCCCCAGAAAATATGAAATCCAAAAAGGAAAAAGTATTAGAGAAACTGCAATAACTTCCAAAATACCCTATCCAACTCTTCGTTGTTATTGGAAAATTTTTTTGCTTGATGAAAATACAAGACTTACCCCGAATTATTATGTTAAAAGAATATTTACAGACAAGCAGTAGTTAGAATTAAAGGAATATATTTTGACTTGTTCAAGAATGTTCTATGGCCTTCCAATTAAAGAATGTCGGTGTATAGCTTTTGAGATAGCAACCATTAATAAAGTTAGTATTCCACAGAAGTGGCACAAAGACTCAATGGCAGGTATTGGTTGGATGAATAATTTTAGAAAACGACATCCAGATTTGTCTCTTAGAACACCTGAAGAATTTTCTCTCTCAAGGGCAACATCATTTAATGCCCATAATGTAAATATATTTTTTGATAAATTAAAAAAACTTTTTGCTAGATCACCAACATTTGCAAATGGAACTCGGATTTTTAACCTTGATGAAACTGGAACTATTACCGTGCAGAACCCACAAAAGGTATGTTAATCTTCAATAAAAAGTATATTTTTATTCGTGGCATATTTTTTCTTATATATAACCTCTAAGGTTATTGCAAAGAAAGATGTGAAAAGTGTCTGCAAAGTCACAAGTGCTGAAAGAGGAACCCTTGTCACAACATGTATAATAATCAGTGCTCCTGGACAATATCATCCACCAGTAATTATTTTTCCAAGAGTGCATTTCAAGGAGCATATGTTGTTAGGAGCTCCTTCTGGATCTCTCGGACTCGCATGTAAAACAGGCTGGATGAATGGTGAACTTTTTTTAGACGTTATGAATCACTTTATCAAGTTCTCGTCAAGTACAAAAGAAAATCCATCATTATTAATATATGACAATTTTGAAGCGCACTTATCTATAGCAGTGATAAATTTAACAAAGGAGCATGGAGTGAACATTTTGACATTACTGTCTCATTCCACGCATAAGCTACAACCACTTGATGTGGGAGTTATGGGGCCATTTAAAACTGCATATAATGCAGCAGTTGATTCCTGGATGCTTTACAATCCTGGAAGAACATTTACAATTTACCAAGTGGCTGCATCTGTAGGGCTTGCTTTTCTGAAAGCCATAACACCATCTAACATTGTAGCTGCTTTTAAAAAGACAGGAATATTTCCTTTTGACAGGAACGTGTTTACAGATATTGATTTCATGTGCAGACAGAACTTTTGATGTTAACAATACTTGCATAAAAAATCATGTAAGCATTACTTCGGATAATTTTTTTCACCCACATGTTTCACTAAATGCAGACCCCACTACCTCTACTACTATAGATACAAACAAACTAGTTACCAATGATACCATGGTTGATCTGTCTACATCATCAGATTTCTTTATCAGCCCTAAACAATTCAGAGGTTTTCCGAAATCTGGAAAAAAAAACTGTAAAAGAAGGGAAAGGAAGAAGGGTTGCTCTATCATTGCCACAGACACTCCTGAGAGAGATCTGATTGAGAAAAGGCTCTGCAATAAAAAGTTAGTCAAACTTACAAAAGAATTAAAAGCAAATTTACAGAAAATTAACAAAAAATTACTTAAAAAGACGATTCTGTATTAGAACATTTGACAACCACAAATGAAAAAGGTTAAATAATACTAGAAGATGATTGTGCTTGTGATATATATCCTAAAGAAGATGACTTTGTATTAGTTAAATTTGAAACAACAAAAAAAAATTGTTTTATGTTGGAAAGGTTTTATGTATAAACTCTATAAAAGAAGAAGTTACAATCAGTTTTCTTCGGAAAAAAGGTGACATTTTTAAGATGTCTAATTCACCAGATATTGTGACTATCCCTAGAATGGATGTTAAATTGTTGCTACCTCGGCCAACTTTTTCTGGAACAAATAAAAGGCAGCATTGCCATTACAAATTTGAGGTTGTGTTTACTATATCAGTATTTGCTAAATATTATTTTTATTATCATTACATATATGTAATGAAAGTATATATATATATATATATATATATATATATATATATATATATATATATATATATATATATATATATATATATATATATATATATATATATATATGTGTGTGTATATATATATACACTTTTATTATATCTTAATATTTGGAAATTATCATTTTTCATGACAGTTTTTTGTTTTGTTGACAAAATCAGTTGTTACTGAATAAAAACAAATTATTTTTCTGGTAGTTAATAAATTTTCTTAATTTATTAAATGAGTTTAAAATTGTGTTAAATTTATTGTTATATAAGTTATATTATTACTTAATTATGTTATGCTTAATTATAAAGTATTTTTTACTAACTTAATTTTCAATAAATTTGTTAAAAAAATTATCTTGTTTTAGTTTTCTGGTAATTAAAGATAATGGCTCACTCCTACCATTTGCTCGGTTCACTCCTACCCATGCATGGGTAGAAGTGAACCAATAGCAACACCTGCGTTATTGTTCAAGTTTTTAAAAATCTAAAGATATTTTGATATTTCTTGTATTACTATTAGAAACCTAATACTTTAGGCTACCTTAGGCTCCTTATTCTATACTTTTTCCACTTTTGGTTTCCTTGATATAATCGATTTAAAAAAAAGTGGCTCACTCCTACCCATCTTCCCGTATATATATATATGTCACTCTCCAGGAAACAATCTGAACATATAACATCAGATTTCCTCAGTTTTTAATAATCAATGCATTTATAAGGTTTTTGCATTTTTTTATTTATCAAGCGAAATTTATGTTTTAAACGCTTATAAGTTTAACGCAACTCTGCATTTATAAATTCTGGTGCTTTCCAATATGGCGTCTTTTGGCTTCAAAAATTTCGAAATTTTATTAGGAGATGTGCTATCCAGTTATTATAGAGATCAGTGGTAATTAGGAATAACAAAAATAACAATCGTCACACTTGAATGCGTTTATGTAAAAACTTGATTTGAGATGTTAGAAAAGTTGTTAACATTGTTAGAAAAGTTTTGTTAGAAAAGTTTGTTTTTAGTTAAAAAAGTTTTGTTTTTTGTTAGAAAAGATGTTAGAAAAGTTTTGTTTTGAGATTTACAAATTTGGTTTCGTATATTTTTAATTTAATTTTTATAAATGAGTTTTTGAATAAAAATAAAGCTAAGAGTATTTTGAATGCGAAAACTCAGACTGCAAGTACAAGGAATGCCTAGACAATATGCAAACGTGCAACAAAATCAGCAAATAATCTGAGCTATGGCAATTGTAAAGAAAATGTACCTAAAAAAGTGTACCTCTAACAATTTTTGTGAGGGTGCGGTTGTGCCTCACAATGGGGGCAAAACCGTTTTTTTCACTAAGTGTACTTTTTGTGTATAACATTTTCAAAAACCGTTCAATTTTTTTCTTAACTGCATTAATTTAAAGCTTAATGATGTGGTTTCAATAACCACATCATTAAGCTTTAATTAACAAACTGCTAAATAAACACATTTCGTTTTTATTTTCATATAGCATTAATCCAAACGTTACGGGGGTGGTTATGCCCCCACTTTCCCTATATTATTGCCATTGATTGTGCTGTAAGCCAAAGTGAAGTAAGATTAATCACCAAGATGCACATTTTTTTATCCAAGTTCCGATAACTAAAAAAAGTAACAGTTACAAACTTTTTGGTATTTATATTGATGAAAATTTGTCATGGAAAAGTCAGATAAAAAATTTGAGTAGTAAAATATAAAAAAAGCATAGGAATTTTATAAAAAGCAAGGAGTTTTTTAAATAAACATACATTACTTAAACTATATTATTCGCTCATTCATTGTCACATAAACTATGCGAACATTGCGTGGGGTAGTACTAATAAAAGTAAACTGGAACTTCTTTATCGTCAACAGAAACATGTTGCACGCCTTATGAATTTTGAGGATCGATTTACTCATGCCAAGCCTTTATTAATTGAAATGAAAGTTTTAAATATATATGAGCCTAATATTTTTAACGTTATATGCTTTATGTAAAAACAATATTTCTCCTGTACCTTTTCATAATTTGTATAACAAAAAAGTAAAAACTAAGTACATTTTACCAAATGGTAATGACATTCGTCAATCAGCTTATCAAACTAATTCTGGAAAATACTGTATTTCATTTCGAGGAGTATTACTTTAGAATAAAATATTTTTAAAGAACTTTGACTTTTCTTAAGAAGTTAGCTATCGTTCTTTCAAACAAAAACTTAAAAAAATCATTTTTTCATTAGATGATATATCTATATTCTTTTAATTTTTTGTTTCTTTTTTAACTTTATATTTAACACTGCATTAATAAAATTTATAATTTAACAATTTGTAAATAGTTGTTTAACACTTTTGTTAAAGGTACCTTAAAACTGTATAACGCATCTATGTATTTATAACGGAACCCTTTTTCATTTTCTTTTTTTCTTTAAATTTGTTAATGTTTTCAATTCTTAATTCTTAATTATTTGTTATCTTTAAGTATGTTAAGTATATATTCCTGTTGAATGTTTATTTATTTTAAGAATATTTTATTAATACGAAATATTGACACGTAAATTTTTTAGCGGTTCTCGACGACAAGACCTTACGGTCTTCTACGAGTTCCCGCATTCTTTTATTTCTTAATAACGATCATGTATATATATATATATATATATATATATATATATATATATATATATATATATATATATATATATATATATATATATATATATATATATATATATATATATATATATGCGAATCACCTAAACTAAAGCATAGATATCCTCATAATGCTGATTTGATTCAAAATTTGATTCAATTAGCGATTTAATGCTTGCTTCAATTCATGATTCGATTTGATACCAAAAAAGGTGATTCGCTGGGCCCAAGTTTAAAATGACATTGCTAAATACTTATTGCATTTATTTTTGACAAGATAAAATCAAATTGCTATTTCTATTGCTACAATTTTTATTATATTTCTATTGATTTTAAAAAAACCTGTCATTAGAAAAAAAAAATTGGCTTTGAGTTATTTTATTTGTTTTTTACATCTAAAAATAAACTATTCTTAAGAAATAAGACTAAAAAACCAAAACTTATGAAATTAAGTTTTTCTTTATAAATTGCAGAATTAAAAAAGTCAAAAACCGCGATTACCTGGAGAGAGAAATTTAGTCAGCCATTCTATTGATCTCTTTGGCTGTGAAACAGCTCCATTTTTGTCAATTTTCATATAATGGCCTGATTTTTATCGCAAGTTTATAATAATCGCTGCTTTTCTCAAAAGTCTATATAAAAATAAAAGTCTATATAAAAATAATTTTAAAAACAGAAACTTATAAGTTTTGTTTTAGCAAAAAGATATTTTAAAGTGAAGAAGTTTTATCTTTACCTTATTTTTTTTAAACCTGTTATGGTTTTATGTAATAGATAGTTTATTCCCCAGTTTAACAGTTTAATTTACGGCTATGGCTATATGAAGCTCTCCGATATGATGGCAGGAGGTCAACAAGAATAATGGTCGGCCAGGAAACTTAGCTAACCTTGTACAAACCCTTTATAAACAGCCAGGGCTTGAAGTGAGTGAACTGTATGAGATAAAAAGCATCTAACAAGTTTTTAATTGCTGTGTATTGGGCCTCAACGCCATTATGCTTAGAAACCACATTTTTTTTAACTTCATCACGAATTTCTGCGTTTTTAAAATACCACCAGTTAGCAAAAATAATGGTAATAAAAGTGGGCACTATCGGTATAGATAAAAAACCTTCCATTACTTGTAATGACGTTATTATATAGTTAAAGATCTATTCGCACCGATTGTTCGGATGGTAAAAAAAGTTAAACTTTAAAAGAGTGGCGAGTATAAATAATCATTCAAAATAAAAAATAAAAAAATTTCATTATGAAAACAATACCTTGGGAATATTTTACGACAACCCGCGTGAAAAAATTTCTTTAAAATGGGATGGGCATATATATATATATATATATATATATATATATATATATATATATATATATATATATATATATATATATATATATATATACATATATATATATATATATATATATATATATATATATATATATATATATATATATATATATATAAATATATATATATATATATATATATTTATATATATATATATATATTATATATATATATATATATATATATATTTATATATATACTCGGCCTATAATTTCCTT